AGAAGAAGACGATTAATAACATTCAACAACATTATGTAGTTATGTTGGAAGAAGACGATGTAGTTATGATGTAGTTATGTTGGAAGAAGACGATTAATAACAATTCAACAACATTATGTAGTTATGTTGGAAGAAGACGATTAATAACATTCAACAACATTTGTTTTATTTGTCTAAAACATGGAATTTCATACAATTTGTAACAAGAAATTTTGTTAGATCATGAACTGCGACTTATTTCAATTGCTCAAAATACGTCACACTTCGTTGAATCCCGGGTAAGTGGGACCATATAAACAGCCCCTTAGTTGGCAATATAACGTATTCAATATTAGTTTCAAGAGTTTGTCAGTTGAGAGAAGCGATTAAGAGAACTTCGACTACCTGAAAAATAAAACTTCGACGATCCGAGCGAAGCCCTTCCTCGTGAAGCTAGTAGTTGGCTTGTACTTTTCAGGTAGTCGGTACTATTCCTCTCAATTCGTAACTTTCTGGTGTTTAATATTAGAGAGTTTACGATCTACGACGCGGCCGGCTCAACGCTTTCGAAACAAAAAAATTTGTCATGCAAGACAAAAACTGTGAATAATTTATGGTCTCAGGGATATTCATTTCTCAACGGCGTTGTCATGCTCAGCACAACGTTAAACTAAGCATTATCACGTCTATCTCAAACTCATTAATAATCCATGAGTGAATTAGCCAACCGTATATTGCTTTATTTTGCTCACATGATAATACTGGATCCCTGCTGAAGTATATTGATCCAGTCCTAGGACTGGTTCATAATTAATTCAATCCTTGGACTGGATCAGAATTAATTCACCTCACTTTAAGTAGTGATTTATTCGCATGAGATGTTATTTCAAATAATACTTCAAGTCCTCGATCGCATCTTGATTCAGTCCTCGGCTTCGCCTCGGGCTTGATCAAATGGACCATTTGCATTATAGACTAAATTTTGATCTAGACAAAAATTTCATCACAGCTTGAAAGAGCATCACAAAATTAGTAATATTCCGAAGTTTCGTTGCGAAATGTTGTAAAATGCGGATAATATAGCCTTGCGAAGTTTGCCGTTTTCAGTCATTTTTTATTACGCACGGGAAATTGACAGCCCAATCGGGTGTTGGGGCATCAATTTCCCGTTTGTAATCTAAAATGACTGAAAATTGCAAATTTCGCAAGGCTATATTTTCCGCATTTTACAACATTTCGCAACGAAACTTTGGAATATTACTAATTTTGTGATGCTCTTTCAAGCTGTGATGAAATATTTGTCTAAGTCAAAATTTAGTCTATAATGCAAATGGTCCATTGCGCGGACTTGAAGTCTAGTCCAGTCCTCATATAGTCGGATTTGAAATATTACTTCAAGCAACGTGAAAGCTTATTGCGACCCAAGAGGCGTTATTTAATGTCGAAATTACAGCAAACGTTGCATCGCTACAGCCGAACTTAGCCATTTGTACGATTATTTGAAAAAGCTTCAAACATTTATTACCGCGCAATCAAATTGCTTAGCGCTCATTCTTGAGCTGAAATTCAGACTGCGTCATTGAGCCGATCTTCCCCGTTATCAACTACTTACACTGGGACGGACCCGGTTTGAGTTTATATCACAATATTTATTTCCTACCATCAAGGCTTGCTCCAAAGCGATCCTTGCATTTCTCAGTATCGAAATTTTGAACACAACAACAAGAGTGCAAAATAACCAACACGAGGATGACGTTCATGACAGTCATCCTAAAGAATTGAGGAAATATAATTTTAATACAACGGGACCTTTACATTAAATGTCTATAATGCCCCCCCTGGCTAGAGGGACTAGAGAGAGTCATCTCTTCCCATTTGTCCCTCGATTTGTCAGTCTTACTACAGGAAGAATCTAAACTAAACTAAACTAAACTAAACTAAACTAAACTAAACTAAACTAAACTAAACTAAACTAAACTAAACTAAACTAAACTAAACCTTTAACTCCATCAGTTCTAAACTGTTCTCCCTAAAGATCTAGAAGAGTCATCTCCTATTTAGTCCAGTCTTGCTACAGGAGGAAAGTCAAACTAAACTAAACTAAACTAAACTAAACTAAACTAAACTAAACTAAACTAAACTAAACTAAACTAAACTAAACTAAACTAAACTAAACTGACTTTAACTCCATCAGTTCTAAACTGTTCTCCCTAGAGATCTAGAAGAGTCATCTCGTATTGATCCAGTGTTACTATACTACAGGAGGAAAGCTAAGCTAAACTAAACTAAACTGATCATGATTTTATTTATATGGGACAACTCTAAGTTCTAAACTGTTCTCCCTAGAGATCTGGAAGAGTCATCTTGTATTTAGTCCAGTCTTACTACTACAGCGGTAAACTAAACTGAACTGATTTTATTTATATGGGGTAACTCTATCAGTTCTAAACTGTTCTCCCTAGAGATCCTATCATGCCCCCAGAGACCTCTTTCGTTGAGCCCTCCCCCTCCTCCTAGTTAATCATGCAGAGGGCGCTTATTATATTATACGCAATCAGCTTAAGCCATGTTACACGGTGCAATTTTCCTTGCAACTTGCAATGCAAGTCTCCTCTTGAGAGATACTAATTAGTGAAATCTGTGAAGAATTTTCGATATGTTGAGAAAACATCAGCGGAGTGTAATGAAGACTCGTATTTGGTAATTTTACATCTCTCAAGAGTAGAATTGATTTGCAAGTTGCAAGAAAAATTGCACCGTGTAACATGGCCTTTACTCTGCTTCGCAAAGCAAGACAAACGTTCGCTAAATTTTCATCCAAATTTAACCACAATTTAATCAATTTGTCCTTGGACAATGTCCATTATAGTGCTACAAGTTTTCGCATTAATACGTTTGATATTTTTTAAATTAATGAACCTGCTGACAAACAAACACACAGACACACAATGATATAAACGCGGACGTTTTCATTTTCAACTTTAAAATTAAAATATCCAAAACCGGAACACTTTAAAAATATCAAATATAAACTATTTACAGTAAAATAGAGACGACGTCACTAGACAGCTCTAAAACGAATACAGGGATTGTACAGGTTAGGAAGGGTTTACAAAATGTCCAATAATCTTAATGCCAAACAATTTCAGAACTGACATCCACTAAAGAAAGACCAATTTAAAGACTTTCAAGCACTTCTTTATAAGCTCAAGGCCTAAAAAGCCTTGAATTTTTGTTTCCAAATTCAAGGACTTTCAAGAATTTTCAAGTTTTGTATACGAACCCTGCGAAAAGAGCTATGCCTATAGTCAATACAATGTGTGCGGTTCAGTTTGGTACAGTTACTACGAGTTAGAAAACAAAAGATAATTAATGCTTACAATTTCACAAAACAATTTCAAAGTCACCTTTTACATGATGAGCTAGCTTACGCTAATTTGAAAACCAAATAGGCATTCGAAAGTGCTTCTGCGTTATATAAGTATGGTACTGTGTAGTGAAAAAGCTTTATTGTTTGCATCAAGTTTCAGCGAGCAAAACAATGTCGCTATGGTGAAATATTGAGAGTTTATAAAACTAAAGTATTAACTTAACTATACCTGAATGTGGTCAAACGCTATCCAGAACTATTTAACCGCCATTATGTAAATAACAATTTCTTCTTTTCAAATGTGGAAAATAATCGCAACAGATATTTCCAGTTGAAACAGACTTGTGCTTTGAAGTAGATTTTCCAACGCACCTGCAGTAAAGCACAATGAATTAATAATGCATTCCAACCTGCTCCCATACGAAATTTGACTGGCTTGTAGGTTTGTTGTTAAACCGCGAAGTAATTTCAAGGAGGTATACTGAAAGACTGCCGCTAATGGCGCAACGCCGAAATTTCTTAGTGCTGTTTTATTGAAAACTAGTGGGCACCCTCCGCTAGCAAATTAAACCACGAGCTAATTACGCATTCCGGGCCCTCTGTCCCAGAAACCAAGACAAACTTTTGCAAGGAGGATTATTTTTTTACGTTATATTACACGCGCCCAAAACTAATGCGCATAATATATACATGCCACCTGCCGTTGGGACTACATTCAAAAATTTTATTTTTCGATACGTTTCTCAATTGGTAAACAAACTCAAACAGTATGTTTAGTGCTTTATCTGTAAAATAATTCTAAAATAAAAAGATTTTAGATGGTACGCCAAAGAGAAAACGATATCTGAAGTTCAGTAATTTTGCAGTATAGTTGAACCAAAATTTAATCAAGTTATCTAGCTTGGCGTGTGGTCATTAGCCTCACAATTTTTTGTGGCAATATGTAACAAACACAGAGACACACACACAAACGCAGGTGACAACAAAACCTCTTAGCGGAAGTAAAAAACATGTCAAACTTTTTGAGTAATTCTTTCTGAATATTGATTGTTTCTTTGTGTAGTTTTCCCCGATTTTTTTGTTACTTTAATACTTTGTCCCAGTAACAAGTGCATAACAATTACTTAAAGTGGAAGTCAAGTCCGTAATGTAAACAAACGGTTTGTTTACATTTTGAACTGCTGTATTTTTTTAAAATATGATGTACTGTCTGAATATCTAACACTATTTTGGTTCGCTATGCTTCTAAATGAATATGAAATATATTCTTTCCAAGACATTTTTAATCATGACAAACAGACAAAGGCATTGCCGTACAGAAAAGCTTCGGACAACAGGATAAAGTGTTGGCCACTTATAACTTGCTGATGAAGCGTCTTCGCTCGAAACGTCGAAGTTCTCCTTGTATTTTTCAGGATGATTTGCATCCATATCAGGCCGAAGCTTTCAAGATTATTGCCGTGTAGTCCAGTTATAAACAAAGGTCAATCGGGTTCCATACAAAGACGTCACGCCTTCTAATTGATGGTATTTATTTTTTTTATTTACATGCAAATGTAAACATAATTTACCCCACGACGCCAAAAATCCTTAATAGCGTCACCCAGGAGACATATTCAATATAATTCAGACCACAAACTGAGTTGAAAACATGGCTGTTCTTTTGATCAAGAAATCGAAGTTTAAGCAAGGTCTCCCGGGCGGTTTTGGATGGAATCAGGCATCACAACGCATCAATGTCGATCAATCTTACAATCTGGTCACAGACGATAAGGAATTCGCCGGACAAACACGGTCGTTTGAAGTCAACAATGTCGACGAAATCGAAGCGATCAAAAATCAGATTCTTAGCAAACCTTTGATATCTGTAGCGAAATGTAGCAAACAGTATAAGGAGTATCGTGGGGGAAGGGATTCGGAAGGCAATCGTCAAGTGGAATATCATACTATGACCGATGACTTTGTGGTCGTTTTAAATACATCACACCCCGAGGTTCGACGTGTCCTGGACGAGACATTCGAAAAAGCGAAACAATTAATGCAGAGAATGCCAAATTTGTGGTGGTGTTCGACCTCGATGATTCGACCAAAACCTGGTACGGCCAAGTGCCGCATGCGAACAGTGACGGCAAAACGGCCCAATCGGTTGGTGCGAGCTTCTACATAGTTCATGATGCTGCCCCGGAGTGCAGCTGTGCACAAGCGTTTTTCGGTTGTGACCAACCGGTACAAAAGGCAATGTGGTGCGTATGCTTCCCTTGTTGTTTGCTAACTGGCATTCCATATCATGCGTGTCGAAAGTGCGTTCAGAATATCAAAGATGTGAAAATTCCTGCTCGATTCCACACCCAGGAGTACAATAACGTTTGCCCCCCCGGGACCAACCTGTTAAGCTTGTTTCAGGGCCAGCAGCAAGTTGTCGCAACCGTGGTTACGCAGTATCCCGGTCACCAATACCCGGCACAACAGTATGCACCACCCCCCTATGGACAGCCGCCTGCCCAACCTGGGTACAATCAACCCCCCATGCCCATGCAACAATACCCACAATATCCCCAGCAAGGTTACCAACAACAAGCACCATATCCACAACCAACGCCTTATAATGCCCAGAATCCACCTCAACAACCTTATTACCCTGCAACACAACACTAGACTTGTTGATATCATTTTTTGTAAGAATTTGGGAAATTTAAATTATTCCACATTTGCACTGAAATTTATCGAACAAGTCAAGGTTTTAAAATATATCATAACCTGTGAAGGACATTGGTAGAACACTTTCCATTTTCTCGTTATTAGCAGTATTAATTATTACATTTTTAAAAGTGTGATCAACCATGACTACAATTAAGAGATGGACCATTATTTTTTGGAGCGGGAGGTAGGATGAGAATTCCTTAAAAAATTGTTTGCATTATAAAAACAGAAAATAAGTTCATCACTGTTAGTAGCTGTCCACCTGCATTCGACTTGGTTGTAGTTAATGTAATGCAAGGGACTGATTACTGTGCTTTGAACAGACACATAGTAACGCGATGTATATTATCAGTAAAAAGTTGGTGTAAATTTCATTTTAGTTTTAATGTAAAAACATAAGCACAGTGTGTAAAATTGTCAAACTTTTTGTACAGAATTCCAGGGGGAAAATCACATTATCTAAAATGATAAGGAACCTAGCATGAGAGCCAGAAAGCCCATGAAGAAATCACAAACCTACTTTTAGTATGTTAATTTGTTTCCTCACAGGAGGGCAATGTGCTGACATCATTGAACTCTCCAATAATATATAGTTCAGTGGTAGATGAGTCAAGTCCAGCTGGGGCCAGTTGTTCAAAGCTAGTTTAGCATGAACCCTTGGTTAAAATTTAACCTGCTGTTTTAGTTTATGTACTTCTGCACGAGTGTTTATTTCAAAACGTCAGAGAAGAAAACTCCTGCTGATTCAGACAATATTTGTGAAGAAATATTTCAAAATTTATAAGCAAGCTGTTAGGAAGTTTGCTTTGAATTTTACTGGGTCAAGCAAATTATTGACAAGCAGAATTCAAATACAAAAAATAATGAAAAAAATCCCACTCCAAATTTTTGAAAATTGTGGACAAGAAACATGATATCCATTTTCATTGGCCTTAGCATAGCATGACCAGTTGCCACAGCTGGCTATGCCACTGGTTGTGTGTGGATATACAGTGTGGATATACACTCAGAGTAACATCACAAGTATCATATTCACCTGAGTAATGAGTACACTGTGATTAAATGTACTCATTACTCAGGTAGGTTTATATACCCAAAGCAGGACGGTAGACCAGACGATAGAAGTCTGGTTGAACACTAATTTCCTTTAATAGTAAAATTGTCTCCCATTAAACAAAATAGGGCACATTTATGATGAACTGCAAAATAGAGAAAAATAATTTATTCAAAATGGTACTCTGCACGTGTTTCAGTTTTTCTAGTGTAAATTTATAAACAAAAGCACTCTTACCATGAAACCACACTGGGAAATATACCACGCATTTTTATCCAAAATTGACAGCATTCTATGTTTGGTTTTCACCGTACTTTATATTTGCTATTTTGCTACTTATAAATACAGCGCTGCCTCGTATATACTTCATGTATTGTAATTATTTAAAGCGTCTGGGCACAGAATAGGAAGTTATACCAGAAGCGTAACTCGAGCAAATATTTGTCCGCGTTTTTACAAGCGATTCGTCATCAATCACGCCATCCTGGCTAGTACAACCGGCACTTTGTACCTACCAAATCCTGATAAAAACTTCCGGCTGTACTAGCCAGGATGGCGTCAGGGGCGTAGCTAAGGGGGGGTGCGGGGGGTGCCGCACCCCCCCAATGCCGTGTCCGTCGGCACAATAAATCAGTTGTCGGCAAAATGAATTGGATCAAGCCAATAGGCAATACCTGATTGGAGAGAGATTGTTTGTAGAAAATTTGTAGAAAATGCGTCTGCGCTTCATTTCATAATTTTGTAAAGCAAGTATAAAAGTCTTAGAAATTACACCTAACGGTCTTATACACAATGAGAAATACGAAGATGATTTAAAAGTATGGACAGTAGCAAGCAAAAACGCAAACGGAAGAGAGAGAAACTGACGTGTTTAGTTTGTAATTGGTCGTTGGTTTGATGACGATTGGATGTGCTTTTTTGAAATTTATACCATGTATTTTAATTAATTAAGGAACAATTTCGCCTATTTTAAAAATAAATTATTTTACTACTCGGATTTCATCGTTGTACATCACTTAAAAATGAATACGGTTCGTTTTGACCACGCCCTAACAACGTGGTAGCCACGCCCTTTTGTCGGCAAAAAGTTGTCTTGCACCCCCCGAAAAGGATAGTCTTCGCTCCGCCCCTGGATGGCGTGACCTGACGTAAGCGAGTTAAAATTTTCGTGGACGTCAAACAATAAGGGAAACGACTAGAGTTACGCTTCTGGTATAACTTCCTATTCTGTGGTCTGGGTAGGCGACGCGCGAAGGGGACTTCATGTAAACTCGTCCTATGCGCATCACTGTTTTTTTACAAAGAGACGCCTGGGTACGAGGCAGAATACAGCATTGCCAACTATATAAATTTTGTAAAAATCCCAAGTAAGCTCCCAAAATATCCCGAGATTCCCTAAAAATTCTCGATATTCTCACTTTTTTACGTCATTTAATTTAGGTGGTTTTCGTGCCAATTTCGCTTCTCGCGTCATGTCGTAGAAACGAAATCTGACATCAAATATGCAACTCAATAGGGTATAAATGCTAGTGGACGAACCCTGGATTTTTAGCAAAATTGTTTATTGGTCAATTTTACCAAAAAATCGATTTCTAAATTTCAAACTTCCCTTTCTCAAAAAAATCCCCCAACAATCCCGAGATTGACTTTTAAAAATAAAAATAAAAAAAATCCCAACTGCTTCAAAAAATCCTGAGATCTCGGGATAAGTGGACTCTGTCACTGGGCAGTGCTTAGCCTCTGCTGCAGACGTCGGGAAGGGAGGGAGGGAGGGAGGGAGGGAGGGGGGAGGGGCATTTGAGGTGCAAACTCATATTTTGGGAGGCAAGATATAATTTTTAAAAAGGTACTGCTATTTGCCTATGCCTTTGTCACGGCACTTTCACCCCCCAGGAGATTGCCCCCCTCTCAAAAGGGGGCGAACACCCTAAGAATATCGCCCCCTCCCTTTAGGATATTCGCCCCTCATATATGCGATGTGGTTTATTCAAATAATTTCGTGGTCGTCTTATTAGTGCCTTACATGTTTGAGAATTTAACTCTGCAAAACTAAAGCTTTTTTGTCTTTTTTGAAACGTATTATTGGAGTATTGGCAAGTTTTACAATTCAGAGATTTACAAAGTAATATTGAAACTGTAAAAAACAGTTTCATGTATATGCGCATTCACTATTAAATGAGTAATGACAACTTATAAGCCATACATTTTCCGATAACGACAAAACGCTTGTGTAGACTTTAGTCGCTCTTAGTGACTAATAATTTTTTTTGAGGGGGGCAAAATGGAGGGGGGGGAAATAATTTGGGGGGGTATTTGCCCCCCCCTTGCCCCCCCCC